AATATACAGCCAGAACTATGATCATTGGTGTTTGAGTTGCCCAATCTCAATTACATGCTGCCACATATTATTCTTCTGAAATCCTTGGCCAGGGTACTTCTCTCTTAGCCAGCTCTTTTAGAAAAAACCAATGCCTTTACTCTAGGACCACCAGAAACATCCCTTGTTTTGTTTTGTCAGTGTTGGCTCAGTTCTGGGTATCCTAGTTTGTGGTGACTAATGATTACTCTTCCTAAAGAGCAGGTGAGACCATAAGTTAGGCTAATGGTTATTTTCCTCCAGACCGTCAAAGAGCTCTGGTGTTCAGAGTTCCCACAGTTTTTATTTCTGAATTTCTTTCACATGTCTATTTAAGTGAGTGGGCAGGGGAATTGGTACAGAGGACACTGTGCTGATCAGAGAGGTCACTGTCTCTGCTACGTGTATACTTGGCCTTTCCATGTGCAAATACTCCTACTTCAGGTCTGAAAAAAGCAAAATAAGGAAAGGACATTGCCCCTCACACTTACATAATCAGTGACCTTTAAGCATTGATTTTTTTTCTTTTTATAACCTTCCTTATTTCTAGTTGTTGAATTTCACTAACAGATGAAACATACTAATCCACACACTGTTTTTATAATCCATTTAATTTGAGCACTGAATGTTTTCAACTTTTCTGTCTTACCTTTTAAATCAAAATGTAAACATTTATATCATACTACCCATTTACCTTCATTATTTTCAATTCCCAGTGCATTGCTTCATCAGTTATGCTTGGAAATTTTTTTATTCATAGTTGAAGATCCCAGGTTTTAACTAGGATGTTTCTTTAGTTGAATTTAAATTATGGGAAAGAACATGCTGAATTTATTTATGTGTAAATTGTGTAGCCCGCGTCTGGACATACTATCCTAACCCTTACTTGGGTCCCTAGAGGGCAGATGCTGCATCTTCTTTTAGGGCAACCTGGAGGGCTAAGAGTGGAGTGGAGTGGTGTCTTTCCAGTGTTATATGCCATGACCCTTTAACAGTGTACTTCCCCTCATCATTATCAGTTGATATCATCCAGACTTAATTAGCTTAGTAAATAGATATTGATCATGGTATAAAACTTCTGAAAAAGTAGGGATCCTAAGAAATTTTCTGGATTTCTACTTCTCATCCATTATTCATTAACTTTGATGACCACCTACCTCTCTCTGTTTTGCCTTCAACAGAAAACGTACACTCCAAGGTTTCCTAATTTTATTCAAGTTTCAGATGTCCTCTATAACATTCAGCTTTTATATAATCTCTACTTTACTTAGATGTGTTATGTTCAATATTTTTCCATGTGCACATTCTTTTTTTTTGACTAGCAATTGTCTGTTGATTATTGCTTATATGAATTCTTTGCTTCATAAACTCAGCATTCAAAGAATTCATGACAGCATTTCAAAAACATATTTTTCAAAGTGTGGGGGAAGAGCACACCTTTTTATGTAGAATACTGGTCAAAAAAATCTCACAGACATTTTGTTTTCCATTTACATTGAGCACTAACCTGAAACCTACCTAAGCAAACTAAGGTGGAAAACATGGAGCATGAAACTGTCTTATGGTGCTTATTTTCTGTTTCTTTTTGCAGTAATGTTGACTACTTTTTAACTGTGTAGTGGATGATTACTCTTTTGAAAGTGTCATCAGTTCTCAGTTGTGAGTGCCCAAAGTATGAAATATCTGGCCAAAAAAATGCAATTATACTCTGGCGGTTATCATATTGATATAATACACAACTCTTTTAAGTAAATAATTTTTTGCCATAAAAACATTTTAAATGACCAACTCTTAATTTAGTTAATTTCACCTACCAAATAGCACTGCTTGAGACTTACTATATGGAGTGATTCTTTCTTTCATGTAATAAGTAATTAGCACATTTAAAGCTTTAAAGTTTAGGATTATCAGAACTTTGGTTACAAAATGGATGGCCTATGTAGAGAATGAGGATTAATGTCATAGAATATTGGTAATGACCTAAGTGACTTGTTTATATTTATCATCAAAGAATTTTAGCACTAGAGATCATTTAGTTCAGATTCCCTTCAGTACAGCCCAATCTAATCCAATTCATACCAATCCTGTCCAATCCAACAAGCATTTGTTAAATCTCTTCTATGTTCAGAACACTATGCTAGGTTGCAGGGAACCACAACAAAAAGAAATTAATCTTAATTCTCAGTGAGCTTATATTCTCCTTGGCACGAAGAAGGTGTTAAACATATATATGGTGATTTGAAGGAGAAGGGGAGAGGCCTAAACAGCTAAGGGAATCAAGAAGAACTGCTTGTAAGAGATGGCAAATGACCTAAGTCTGGAAGGCTGGAGATTCTATTATGTGCCTGTAAGGAAGGAGCTCATTCCAGACATTACAAACACATGTAAGTAGGCATGTTACACGTGGTGCTGAATTTCAGGAATGGCAAGTGGGCCAGTTTGACTGTAATATAGAGTCCAGGAGAGACACACGTTGCAGGAAGCCTGAAAACAGTCTGGGGCCAGATTGTGAAGGGTTTTCAAAGCCAAGATTGGAAAGTTTGTATTTTGTCCCAGGGAGCCATTGAAGCTTTGTGACGTGCTTTAGGGAGAGTCTTTTGGCAACTGTGTTGAGGATGAATTGAAGAAGGAAGATATTGAAAGCTTGAAGTTCAATTAGAAGGTTGCTGTAGGAAGATCTTTTGTCCAGGAAAGAGGTGATGAGGGTCCTTGTAAGTGAAGAAACTAAGGTTCAGAGAGATTGAGGCAAAGTCCCACAGATAGTTAAGTGTCAGGGATATAACTAAAAGCCAGGACTTCTATGAGAGACTGACTCATACTATGGAATGATTATTGACTTTGGAGTCAGGTTAAACTCAAGTCCTACCTTATAGGTAATCCACTTACTACCTATGTGACATTGGACAAGTTCATTAATCTCTATAGGCTTCAGCTTCTACATTTATAAAATGAGGGGCTTGAGCTAGGCCTCTGAGGCTTTTTCCAGCTTTTAATTCTCTTATTCCAGTGTTCTCTCTGGAGTCCATCATAAATACTCATTTAAAAAATGATCATCATAGGACTCAGTGTAGTACATCCTCAGTCTAAATATGAGGTATCTCAAGAGCTTAACACTTTTTAATCCTCTTAATTGGATACTTTAACAAATGATCCATTTCTGATCTTGTCACTGTGGGTACTCCATCTAACAGATTGTAATCCAACCATCTATAGTTTCTTTACCTTATGTGACTCCTGTCCACATACACATAAAACCTCCACATTGAGTTCACCTGACATAATGGGGGCCTTTCTGACTTTCTCTTAACATGTTGAGGCTGTTCATTGGTTATCCCTTGTTCTTGTTACATGACAAATCACTTTCTACATCTCTTCTCATTTCTGTAGCAAGCCATGTTCTTTATCAGTACCGAGAAACTACTGCTACATTTGAGCTCTAATATCATAGGTACCAATGGGTGGCCTCTGGGTGTGGAAATGACACTAAAGAAAACAGAGATCAGAACAGCAGGACTTGACCAAATATATAGAGGAGGTTTTTGGAGGAAGTCATACAGTTTTGACAGTTTTGAGGGATTAATTTTTAAGGTCTTTGAGAGGCATCACTATTTCTGTGTTTTCCAACTCCATTCTCAAAGAAAGTATTTTGACTACATAATATATAGAGTAAAGCATAGGGGAGACAGAGAGAGAAGAGAAAGAGAGAGAGACAGAGACAGAGACAGACCGAGACAAGAGAGACAGACAGAGACAGAGAGAGACAGAGAGAAAGGAAGATAATTTAAGCATGAAGTTGAGATCTCAAACCCCAATATGTAATTCCACATAAGGGAGAAACTCTGGGTTATCCTCCACCACCACCATGTATGTGCACACAAATGTGTATGTATAAGGGTCTGGGAGTGGAATAGAAAAGAGCCCTTAGGGCATGAATGAGCATAGAAAATAGAATATCAAGAGACTGTTGCTATTAGGGAAGCTCTTGCCAGGTTTAGGGTCAGGAACATGCAGGGCTGGGACTTTTCTTCATCCCACAGTGGGTGGAACATGCCATATTGTAATTTCCTATTTTAGTGAATTATTTTTGCTAACTCAATACTAACTGCTTCTACCTATTAAAGGAATGAAAGTGCCATCAGCATCTTTTACATTTTGGAGCCACTGAGCAAAGCACTACATGCTCCACCTTGGTTATAGCTGTGGTTATTACACACAACGTACCATTATTCTTTCTTCTTGAGAGAATTGGTGACAATATATAGACTCTGCTAATTATGTAATATATAGATACAACATGCATATTTGTGCATGTATACACATGCATACATAAAATATATAAAATATTTGCACATGTGTGTACACATATTTTAGTTTATATATATATGTATATAATTTATTTAGTTATATATATTTTAGTTCTCTAGTTGGGTTTATAGCTTATTTTGCCTTTTAGTTTTGGCATAGAAATTTGCAAAAGTTCCAAATTTAGTATTATTTACCTAAATAGTAATAAGAAAATTCTAAATTCCTATTGCAACCTTTAGCCTGTAACACAAGCTACTTAGCTAATGCTAATGTGGTAGGCAATGATGTTTAAAATACAGTTACAAACCAAATCAACTAGCTTTTATTTTGTCCCAGTATTCATCAGACATTGGAATAGATGGCAAAATTTATTCATTCACCCAATTTTTATTCAGTGTTTACTATGTGCAAGTCACTGTTGTAAGGCATATGGGGGATATAAAATAAATAAGGCACAGACTCTGCTGTCAAGGGACTTATAATGCACAGTGTTATTTTAATGATTATTTTTATAGGAAAGCTGCTTTTTACAGTAAATTTGAATGATATCACCAAGTAATAGTATAACATTTATAACTAGCTCCTTCACATTGTATGATACTTACTTTTAAAAGTACGATAGTAGTTACTTGAATTTCTTGTCACTAATGGAGCCATTGTTTGTGTTCTAAATACAGGAAAAACATACTTCGCTTTCTGGATGCAGAAAGAGACATCTCTGTGGTCAAGAGCAGTTTTAAGCCTGGAGATGTATTGCACTATGTGTTAGACAGGCGCCGTACCCTAAATGTTTCTCAGGAATTGCATAGCCTCCTTCCTGAAGTTTCACCAATGAAAAATCGTCGATTTAAGACATGTGCAGTGGTTGGAAATTCTGGGATTCTGCTAGACAGTGGATGTGGAAAGGAGATTGACAATCACGACTTTGTGATAAGGTGAGCTTTCATTACTTCCTCCAGATTATAACGTATTCTAAAACTGGTTATCAAGGAAAGAGAAAACTGGCAAAAATGGTTAGCCTAATAGCATTTTCAGAGATTATTAAGCTCACAGAGATATTTATTTGAAGTGATATTTTTTCTCTGTGGTGTCGAAATTTACATTTATTCTTATACAGAAAACTCTAATTATCTCGTCATTGAAATGAGAAATGCTGTCAGCTGTACTAGTAAGATTCAAATCATGTCTTTTATTCAGAATTTATATTTTTTGTTGTTAAAAGATTTGATAGCGTAGAATAAATTATTTTGTTCTGTAGTGTTGTTTCCTCACTTTTGATTATAAGATGTTGCATTACATATCTGTTATATTCAAATTATGAGTAGTATTAGTTAATGCTGCAATCAAATGTCAGAACATAGGATCATAGATTTAAAACTGGAGGGGACCTCAGACACCATCTTGTCTAACCCCTCATATTACCAGTGAGGTAACTGAGGCCCAGGAAGGTTATGTGACTTTTCCAATGTCAGACAACTAGTTAAGTATCAGAGGTGAGGTATTTAAGTCCACACCCTCTCACTCCAGAGCCAATGCTATAAGAGAACTTATCCTCCTTTTTCCTATGACAAATCATTTAACTGAATTTCTGGGCAATGTGTATCAAATCTATCCTTAACATTTGGAGCCCAATTGCATTCATTTTACTTTGTGCTACTGTATATGTTTACTGCTGGTTATGTATTAGTTATTTGGGTTTAGGACCATAAAAAGTATTTTTTATTCCATTTGATGAATTAGGTAGTTGAGAAAAAAATTGTTGTTGTTGTTTTTTAAACCATTAGTAGGACTCACATAAGAGTCATGTTAGAGATACTGGCAATATTAAGTTTCAATGGCCATAACAATGTACAAAGTCAGGATGGACCTTTTCAGAGTCATCTGTGAAATAGAAATTCCCAAGTCAGTAAAGACTAGTGGGGAGTGTCCTGGTCTCAGAGGAAGACATCCTTGGTTTGAACCCCAGCCCTGGTGCAAATCAGTCGTGTGACAAGGAATGGGCAAGCCATATGTTCTCTGAGCTTTAGTGTCTTTGTTTGTGAAATGGATATATAATGGCACTTGTATTATATATCTCATGGGACTTGCTTGAAGGGAGTATTTTGTAAACATTAAATTTAAAGCCAAATATAAAAGTGAGTTATTTTCTTGCAGATAGAAAGGAACCTTGGTCTGGCCTGTTGTCAATTTCTATGGCCAGTTTTAATTCTTTGTGAATTGAAGTGTGGCTGCAGATTTGATTTTATATCATTAAAATTAATTTTGATGTATAAAAATTAGACGTTCTTTTTGTATGATAGTTGTTGATGAATGGATACTAAATAGACTTTTAAACCCATTTTGCCTACAGGAAAATTATGGTTTTTACCCATCAATTACACCTTAAAACAGGATGAACTGTAAAGTTTCAACTTTGGTACCCAGTAGTGGTCCTAAAGCCAGAATTCCTATTCTTATAATAGCTTTTTTTTTTAATTTGCACAGAGGAAGAGGATATGAATGATTGTTGTGACTTTTATTATGGTCAAGTCGATCATTAGCAGTTAACCTTAAAACAAGTAACTGTACTAATGATTTGCCATTTAAAAAGTGTGATCAATAGACTAAGCAATATAGTCAGAGGATGCAAACACTAGAAAGAGAAGAAAGTAGAATAAGTTGAAGCAGGTGGATAACTAGACAGTGGGAAGCATGGTACCCAGGCTTCAAATGGGAACAAAAATCTTAAGAGCTATAGAGAAGGTATAATTTGAGATCAAGTCAAAGTTTGGAAAAAGAGTATTCGGGCCTTGTATGAAGACAGGGTTCTAACAAGAACAAATTAAAACTAAATTGATTTGAGAACTGGGATAAGGGGGCGATATCCTAGCTCCCCATTCGGGTTATCCTTCTCTTGATTGCTAAACATATTTAACTCACCCAATTATAGCTCAGCTTCACCTGGAATCAGGTACCAAATGTTTCATTCAGCCCTCTGGGTGACTGTATTTCCTATCTGTTACCAAGAAACACAGGTTTTGAGAGTTGAACAAGACCTCATTGGCTATCTAGTACAACTTGTACTGGAAAAAAGAACCCTTCCTACAACATAATCACCAAGTTGTCATCCAGCCATTGATTAAAGACCTTGAAGAAGGGAGAACCCCCTACTCCCTGAGGTAGCTCATTCTAATTTTGAATGGCTCTAGTTGTTAGGAAATTTTTATATCAAGTTTGAATTTGCCTCTTTGCAACTTCCAAGTTGCTACTAATTCTGTTCTTTGGAGTCAAAGCAAATAAGTTTAATCCCTCTTCCGTCTTCCCAGAGGGAAAATACCTCAAGATATTTATCTTTTTCCTACAGCCTTCTCTTTCCAAATTACTTCAGCTTGTCCTTATGTGTCATGAACATGAGGCCGTTTAAAATCCTGGATGCCTTCTTCTGGGCATTCTTCTAGTCCTTCTTAAAATGTGATTCCTTAAACTGAATGATCCAGATGTAGTCTAACCAGAAAAGGCACAGCAGGTCAGTGGGGAGGACATTGGAGTTGGAGTCAGGATGATCTGATCCCAAATATTTACTACTTACATGATGTTGAGCAAGTCAGTGAACCTTTCTGTGCTTCAGTTTCCTTATTTACATCAAGGAGGTGTGTGGACTAGATAATCTTCAAGTCCTCTTGTATCTCAAAATCTTGATCTTAGCTCTCCAATGACTGAGTATACTTCCTAATTCTACAATAGTCAAGGGGTGGGTTTTCCTGTGCTTTTGACCTCTGCTCATCTCTGCTTGGGCACACACCTCTAAATGTTATAATTAGAACAATGACTAACAATATTCATATCCTGAGTATCTTTTCCCCCTGAGTCTAGTATCTTGGATGTCCATCTAATTTCTGGGCTCATATCCCTATATAGCTGTCCCTAGGGAGGAAAAAAAATAGATATAATGCATCCTTGTTTAGATTCCTAGCATTCTCCAGACATTGCAGGTCTTCCTGTATTTATCTGAATTTAATTACACTTTAATTTTTAGTTGTTGACTCTTTCTTACAAATTGGATAGTATAGAGGGTACCCAGTTTGTAGCAAAACAATGACTTCTATTTTAGATATGTTGATTTTGAAATGATGTTGATGATGATGATGATGATGATAATTCGTATAGTGCCATAAGGTTTGTCAACCTTATCTTCACAACTCTGGAAATTTGGTGCTAATAGAATGCTTAGGAGGAATTGTTGAAGTTGTCTAATAGCAGGAGGTGATGCAGGGCCAAAGTTCAATGTATCAAAAAGTGAACTCATTTCCTTTCTTCCAAAAATCAACCCAGTTTTGAACTATCCTATTTCTACCAAGGGTACCACATCAAGGTTCAAAACTTCTGTGCTATTTTTTACCTCTTGGAGGTCTTCAACCAGAGACTAGATGACCAAACTTATTTCACATTATTCCACTCCAAACTGTTGTCCAGATAGTCTAGCCTTCTTAATGTGATGCTGACATGAAGCTCCATTTCCTGCATCTGCAGCGTTGCACTAGCTATTCCCGTTACCTGCAGTGTCCTCCCTCCTCTTCCCTATACCTCAGAATCCCTAGTTTCCTTCAAGGTCCCTAGAGTGCAGAATAAAGAACAATGGATAAAAATTACAAAAAGGCAAATTTTGTTTTGATATCAGGAAAACAAAAACAAAACAAAACCAAAAAAATTCTTAACAATTAGAATCATCCAAAAATAGAATTGGATACCTTGACAGGTGGTGGGATTTGCCATCCTAAGTCTTTCAGTAGAGGCTGGACAGCCACTTGTTGAGCGTTAGAGTGGAGATTCTTTTTTTCCCCAATAGATCGGACTAAATGGCCACTAAGTTCCCTTCTAATTCTCAAATTCTGTGATTCTGTGAAAGCCTTTCCTGAATATTCTATTGGTGGTACCCTACCCCCCACCCTTTTCACTCTGGGTGTATGTGTGTGTGTGTGTGTGTGTGTGTGTGTGTGTGTGTGTGTGTGTGACTGTAAACTTTTGGAGGGCAGAGATTGTTTTTGTTTTTGTCTTTTTATCCTCCTGAGTGCCTAGCACAGCGCCTGACACATAATAAGAGAACACATAAATTTTCAATAAATATTTGTTGATTAATTGAGGAACAATTAGGGACAAAACAGATAGACATATAGATAGACATCTCTATCTACCTATATCTAGATAGATATAGATCTATAGGTCTTTATATAGATTGATCTATATCTAGATAGATAGGGCTGTATAGATATAGATCTATCTACATAGAGATATCCATATAGATCGATATCTATCTATATAGATATCTCTGTATAGCTATAGATACATCTATCTGTATACAGACCTATATACCTCTAGATAGATCTATCTGTATCTAGTTGCTCCTCAATTATATATGTATTATGAAATGCATGTATATATTCAATAGAATATAAGCTCATCCTGTGTAGTGACTATTTTTTTTTATGTTCTTAGTACCTAGCATAAAACCTGAAACATACTAGGTGCTTTATGAATACTGGTTGCCTGATTGATGTATAGATCAGGCAGTCATTTTGGATAGAAATGATGGTTTTGTCCATGGGATCTGATGAGATCATCAAAAGAGGTGTAGAGAGAGAAAAGATGAAAGACTGAACATGGAGAAAGAACTTAAACATATGGTGAAGGGATAGGATATAAATAATGACCTAATAAAGGAGACAGAAAAGAAGCAGTCAGAAAGGTAGTAGGAGAAAGAAAACAATGACATCCAGGAAGTCAGTATTACAGGGTAGTTGGAATTGCAAAGTCTAAAGTGCTACAGAGAGGTCAAGAAGTGTAAGGACTGAGAAAATGGACAATTAAGCGATGACAGGGAACTTGAGAGAAAGAGGTTTTCCTTGAATGATGAGGTCAGAAGTCAAATTGCAAGATGCTGAAGAATGAGTGAGAAGAC